AAGATGAAGGAGATTTGGGGTTAATTACCAAACTTAGATTGTCTGTTTTTCAGGTCAACCAAATGTCTGTGTGCTCTGTCCTTCTGATACCTAGCATGTTCTGTCCCTGGGAGAAAAATCTCTGAAATTCCATTCTGGGTTCACATCCCACTCCAAGCCTAGTTGCTGGGGAGAGCTAGCCTGCAGCACTGGGTCTGCAAGTACTTCTGCTGGGTGCAGAGCCTTTAATGATAGGGTTATGGCCTCATCAACATACAACTGTCAGTAAGAACAGGACAATCCCATTGGGAAAGCCACCCTAGAAGAAAAAGTGGGAGCTTTCAGACCTTGGAGGGCAAAAGTTATGGGGTCCTAGGGAGTGGAGCTGATCCTGGGAGTGGAACAGGTCCTGTCATGGCAGCCCTTCTCTCCAGGACTTTTTCCTGGGAGTAGACATCATTGGATCTGTGGTTTCCTCTTGGTCACATCTTCCACAGACACATCGGAAAGTGAGCATCCCAATGTGTTTCCTTAGAGATACACAACTTTGTAGCCCACTTTATGCTGGGAAAGCTTGGTGGCAGTGGGGAAGGGATGTTTTAAGGAGACAGAAACACAGACTTTCACTGGAGTAGTTCAGCGTATTTGATAGTATGTGTCCCTTAGAATCTCAGTTGACTTTATGCCTGTTTGCTTCTGGTCTTTTTCAAAGGCAAGTAACAGTTTTAAGTTGGAAAATCATGGCCTTTTATTGCTCATCCTGGATATTCTATGAATTTACCTCTTTAACTTGAGATCAGCCTAAATGCTCACCTTGGTTTGAAAGGTCTAGTCTTTGATCTAGTCTTCACCTCTCAGAAGCTGTCAGACTGAGGAACCCTTAATCAAAGGGGCTGGAGAAAGGCACCTTTACACTTGCGCCATGCTAATATAACTTCTCAGAAACTTCCACTGTTTCTGCCTCAGTTTGCAGTATAAGACTCCCCACAGAGGTAGAGTTTTGAACCCTAAACCACTTTTCAAGTTAGGCTGCAGCTAATTGTTAGTTTCTCAGCTCAGGGGACTCCCTCTCATCTCTGCTTTGTCTGTGGTAAGCTCTGTCTCACATTCTTCTAACTCATACAGTTCTTTGTGGAGACTGGCAAGAGGCATTTGGCAAATGCCAACAGTGTGAAGTTTCCAGCCATCTTATAGCTAAACATGACTTTCTAAACACTGCAGGAACTGGTCTACCATACACTGTGGTATGATACAACAGGAACCTCCAGCTTCCCAGCTACCATTTGTAAATGTGCACACATTTACAAAATGTTTTTAGTTTTATACCTCTTCCAGGTATAATTAAGGAACAGTTAATGCATTGATTAGTATATAGACTTTCCTTTTGTAAGATAGTTCCCACTCCAAAGAGTGGCATATATAGGTTAGAGGTTAATTTCTCTTTCATGTGAAATCTGATCATAAGTAGTCCAGGACTGATAGATCACAAACTCTGATGACTCTAGGGTCTTATCTTCATTGGAATGGTATAAACTAGTGTCACATTGTGATTTCATTGTGATCATGGGAGAGGGAAGGGAGTAAGGCACTTTTCTTCCAAAGAGCATAACTAAAAATTGCACACATCACTTTTGTTCGCCTCTCATGGAATAGAACCCAGTTTGCTGCATGGTGCCGGGAAACTGTGGTTGGTATTCTGGTCAGCCAGGCTCTTGGCTAAAGGAGTTCTGCTAGATGAGGAGAATGCATACTGGGGAGTACTAATAGTCTCTGCTTAGCTTAACCAGAGTTACTTGTGTGACAAGGCAACATGCAGCATGCTAAAAATCAAGCAAAGGGATGACAACAAAACAAACTAGCAAACAAAAGCTTGGAGCTGGAGAGATGGCTCAGCGGTTAACAGTGCTGACTGCTCTTGCAGAGGACCTGGGTCAATTCCCAGCATCCACATGGTGGCTAACACCTATCCATAATTCTATTTCCGGGGGAATTTGACACTCTCTTCTGACCTCTTCAGGCACTGCATGACGCTGACTGCTCTTGCAGAGGACCTGGGTCAATTCCCAGCATCCACATGGTGACTAACACCTATCCATAATTCCATTTCCGGGGGAATTTGACACTCTCTTCTGACCTCTTCAGGCACTGCATGATACAGGCACGCTTACATACATGCAGACAACACATTCATACACATAAAAATAAAAAAAAAATGTTAAAAAGCCACAAAAGCTCACCCAGCTTTCTTGACCCCATCTCCCTCTCCAGTGACCTCTGTTTTCTCCTCTTTATGGCCATACTTTGGCTGACTGGGCACATACCATGTCAGAATCTTCTCTCCAGTCCCTCTCTCCACTCACTCCAGGGGTGTCTGTCTCTAGAACTTCAGAAGCATATGTTTTGAGTGCCCTGGGTCACTATAATGCCCCATTTCCTTTGGTTTATCTGGATGCTTCTGTTCTGGTTGGTTCCTTGCCACCTGGTTTCTCACAGATGGGTCCTAAGCCCCTCCTCTCACTTACCTCTTTCTCTGAAGATCCTATTTATCCCTGAGACTTAAGGGGCTACTTCTGTGTTCATGATGCCCAGACTTTCTGAGAAACTCCTGCTTTTCTACAGAGTGACTCCAACATCTCAACATGCGTGACTTGGGAGCTCCAAAGCTCCCAAGCATACATCATACTTGTTCCATCTGGTCATCAAGCTAGGGCCTCCACTCTTACTACCATAGCACTCTACAGAGCCCCATTTCCTCTCCACTCCCCAAAGTCCTAGCTTGTACATCAAGAGCCTGGCACGGGTGGGTCTTGATAAATATGGCATCAACTGATTGATAGCAGTGAGAACATTGCACAGGATACTTTCACAATTCTCAGTTCCTCTCAGTTCTGTGAGTAAGGAGGTATATAATTACCACCACTTAGCAGATGAAGAAACTGATGCCCAGAGAGATGAACAGTCTTGTTTGGGTGTGGGATCACAGGGCCAATGAATATGTTGGGAGTTGTGGTTGGAATTCATGTCAGAGTCCTTATCTGGGCTGTCCCTGGGCCACAGCTTTAACTAGGACAGCCTCTTTGCCAAGCCATAAATGCAAGAAGGGAAAGAGTGGGCCAAGAGGCCAAGAACAAGGTGATGCTCAGAGATCCTGGTGGCATGGTCCAGTCAGACCATGTCTGTGGATATCCAGTGTTGCAGACATCTGTTAACATCCAACCTTGAGTAGGCTTCCTTACAGCATACAGGGTAAGGTTTTTGGAGGGCTGTCAGGATGTCTCAGTAGCAGAAGCACCGAGTTTGGAGCTTTGCACTGGCTCTCAGTGTAGCCACATATGCCTCATACCTTCTTAGGATTCAGGTGACTTCACTGGAAAGTGAATATAAATGTGTAGAGTGTTAATCCCTGGTCAGTGGCACAAGGTAGTTCGTGGCCCTGACAAATCTTATAGGCCCTTTGGGCAGGATTCCTCAGGCAAACTGTGCGTGGTGGGTAAGCAAGAGACTGAGACCCCTACTTGACCACCTCTGTTGGTTAGGGTGCTCAGCTCTTTCAGGACAGTTGTCTTTCAGAGTTAGAGAAAGTGCTCTGAGGCCCTGCTAGAAAGAGGTAATTAGGACAGTCCAGGTCTTTCTGAACAGTTGGAGATCCGCCCCCCAAACTAGAGGAGGGACAGAGTTAGTGGTGGCTCCCCATCACTATCTGGGAGGAGTGCAGAGACCCCAGACCAGGGCTGGACAAACAAGTGGGGCCCCTAGAGCTGCTGTCTAACACTGGGACTTGATTCTCCAAGACTGGCGCTCAGAGGCAGCACAGGCTTCTCTTACCATGTGGCCCTGGGTATGAGTACCAGGAAGTTCTTGAGGGTGGAAGGGATCCAGTCAGGTCTGGGTGGGATGGCTTTCTGTCCTCTGTGCCTGGGAATATTGAGGGATATTGAGCAATGGGGCTCCCAGGTCCCCCACAATCCTGGGGTCTGTAGAGCTTTTAGGGAGAGACAAGGAAAGAGCAAGGAAGGAAATTTCAGGACTTCAGGAAATTGTGGGGAAAGAATGCAGGACCCAGTAAGGTCTGCTCACCTCTGGTGGTCGCTGAATGATAGCTGTTGGCATGCTTGAAGCAAGCTGGAAGACTGAAGGCACCAAGTTGTAGTGGATTGTGTCACAGGGAAAAGGTGGGCATGGTCGTGGAGGTGGATGGAGTAACAGAGTACCAGAATACTGGCCTTCAGGATGTAGTGAGGTTGTGACCCTGGGAAAGGAGCCAATGAAGTTGGGGTCCTGGGGCATGGGCAGGTGCTCTGGAGGACCAGGCTGGGAGTGTAGACTTGATAGGACTTGGGTCAAGCTTGGGAACTCGGGGTAAGACTAGAACTGAGATGATGGTACTGTGGGATCCAGTGCTGATGAATCCCCAACCTCTTGCTGGAAGGCTACAAGGACTGGAGATAGTGATCACCAGGGTTAGTAGGACCTAGAGGAAAAGGTGTGTATGTGGGAGGGCAGGGGGTTGGGCAGGATGACAAAGAACATGGGGGCAGGGTGGTGGGGAAATGGTCTGTAAACAGTAGGGTCACGGGGAACAGGAGTTGAAGGGGCAAAGTGCTGAAGAAGTGAACTTGGGGCCTGGAGGGACTGTGGAGAGCTAGCCACGCAAGGCTGAAGACAGTGAGATTGGGACAGGATGATGGCGCCCTTGGGAGATTGGAGGGCAGGTCTGGGTCAAAAGGGGATGGCGAGGCAGAGAGGGCCTCAAAGATCCCATCGTGGAGAGACAGCCTTGAGGAGGGGTCCGGAAGAAGGGCCGGCAATCTCGGGGGCGGAGCCTAGAGGCGGGGAGTGGGCGTAGGGGGCGGGGCCAGGGCCCGGGGGCGGGGCCGGGGCTGTGAGCTGACCGAGAGCACCCGGCGGGCCCAGGTGAGCTGGCTGCCGCCCCCGGTACCCCTGAGCTGGGCCCAGGGTGTCAGCCGCCCCATCGGGCCCTCGGCAGCGCGGGCTCCGCGGACGACTGGACGGCGGCGGGCCGGACCCGGTGAGGCCTGGCTCCATCTTGGGCCGCGGCTCCGGGCACCTGTGGCGGCCGCAGAAACCTCGCTTCCGCTGGCCTGCGCGCCCCCGGAGGGCGACAGGGTGAGAGGCCCGCTTGGTGCGTGCGGTGTAGGGTACTGGGGTGGTCTAGGCGGCGCCGCCCCTTCCTGCGCCCCCGAACCCACTCCTCACCGCCGCCTGCGCGCAGACCCTCGGCATCCGGCCGGGCTGAATGCTTTAGCGTCCTAGTGGCCGCATCCCTCCCCGGCTCGCCTTCCTTCGCCCTGTCCGGTCCTCTCTTTTCTGTCTCCTTTGCCCAGCCTCGGGTTTTTCCTTTCTCTGTCTGGGACGTGTCCCCTTTGGCTTCCACCCCGCCTCCCGGCCCCTCTTCTTGAGCATCCGCATCCCGTACCCTTCCCTCCTCGGTGGCCAACACCCCACCCTTTACCTCTCTGGTCTGGCATCCCTACCCGCAAGCCTACTGCCCCATCTCCCTTCAGTCACTGCCTTTGTCCTGGAAGGGTCTACAGACCCTAGTTCTGAGGCTTGTGTCAGGTCCTTCTCCCTAAGGCCCCTGTGGACATTGTTCGGGAGGTAAGGGCCAGGGAGGCTGCGTGGTGTGTGGTGCGTTCAGGCCTTTGCCCGCAGCAGGGGCGGCCTGTGTTTGGCATGCAGAGTGCAGCAGTGTGGACACTGTTTCCTGCAGACTTCCACTGCAAAACAGGCCCGTGCCTCGGCCTCTCTGGTGTGACCACGGTGAGGCATATGCCCTTGCTTGCCTGTGCTGGTGAGTATATAGGTAGGAACACACTGGCCACCTGGGCTGCTTCTAGGTTGTGACTGCTGGCCCATGAGACACCCACATCACTCCCAGGGAGAGGACAGTCCCTCACCCAGAGAGGGGCGGGACTCTGGGGCTCTCAGGGGTTTGGATCTCTCTGTGGTGAGCATAGTGGCATTTTTGAGGCTATTGCCCCATACTTACCCCCAGAGCTCTTTCCTGGCCCTGTGTCATCTCTGTGAGAGGCTGGCTTTGTCCCTTCACCCCTCCCCCCTTAGGAATTTTCCATGCTTACACTACCCAACTTTAGCCTGGTGTGTTAGAGTTAGGCTACTCTTTTGCTGAGATGGATCAAACCACGTGCAGTAGGTAACCATACCCCTTCTATGCCAGGGATTTGAGGGATTTGTAAGGGATGCATCCCTTCCTGGTCCTTCAGAAGTAACTTTCATAGTTTAGGATGTGACGAGTCCTTGTCCTCCCATCACGTACCTTGTGGATTTGGTTTTCCTGCTGTGGTTTTCTGGACACAGAAGTTGCCATCTAGGTACCTGCTGCTTAAGAGTAATTATATGGACTCCACAGTGTGGTCTGAGATGGGCTCCTTGGTGGTCCTCTTGGGCACATCCCAAATGTCTGGGCTCCTCAGCTGGGGTGAGAATTGGAACTTCTGATCAGGTGGATCCAACAGTCACCCTGGCTGAGCTAGTGTCGTTGGTTGCTTGCTGCGTGTGAGAGTGGTTGATACACTGGTAAGGCTTTAAAATAGCCCCTTGCAGCTGTTAGTTCTTAGGCATTTTTGGACTGCTCCAAGGTTGAGTTTTGTCATCTACCACTTGTAGAATAGTGTACGGTAGGGAAGGGAACCAGTAGATATATAGCCTGCCAGCCATTGGGGTTTCTGGTCTCTCTGGGGGGGATGGCCCACTCTGGGCACTGGACAGTGTCTGGGGAGCAGGTGCAGCAATACTCTCTTCACTAATGGCTTTTCACTAGGTCTTGGTGGAGCTTGGGGTTCCCTCAGTCTTGTCCCACTTATTTCCTCAGGGGGTCAAGGGGTTGGTCTGACTCTTTATTGACCTTTGCCCTAGGAAGATCCAAAATGGTGAGTCTTACCCCAGGGCTGTGTAGGTTGTTCTGATGGGGCTTCCTTGGGGTTCTTAGACCATGGCTGGGTGGTTGTCTCCTTACCTAGGTCTTTTTTTCTGCAGGTGAAATTTTGCCCTCCTTAGTCCATGCAACCTAGGAAGTAGGTGAGGTTGGGGGCAAGCTCTGCTCCCACTCATTTATTCCAGTGGCATATTATGAACATCATTGGGAGTGCCAGATGGTAGGATAGGTGCTAGGGCTCTGGCTGATGGCAGTGGCCAGGACAGAGATCTGCACTGTCAGAGGGGCAGAGAACCTCATACACTCATGGGCTTGATTCCTGACTGAGCCACTGGCCAGCTTTGTGCCCTTGAGCAGGTCACTAAGCTTCTGAGCTGTGACCTCATTTGTAGAATGGGGATGATGACTTACCTCATGAGGTTGGTGTGACAGTGAAATTAGACAATATTTACAAAGGATGTGGCCCCTGCCTGGAATGTTCAAAGCTATTATTATCATCACTGTTATTGCCATTGGCTTTAATGCCTTCCTCTGCCCATCCACATTATTAGAGCTCCCTGAGGGCAGTGGCTGGGCTAGAGTCTTTTCTTGGCCACTCATCCAGTCTGGCATTGGCCCCAAGGACCAGATGGGATGGGACATTCCTTACAACATTGGCTATGTTCAGAGTGGCTTGGTCTACTACAGTAGCCATTAGCCTTGTATGGTCAATTGTTGAAATTACTTAAATTTAAAAACATCAGAAATTCAGTTTTCTCGGTTACAACAGTTGCCTGTCAGGTGCTCAGGAGTCACATGTGACTAGTGCCCACCACACTGGACAGCACCGAGTGGAAACTTTCCATCATAGCAGGCAATTATACTGAGCCAGACTCTACACCAAGGCTCCAGAACCCTTCCCATTATAGGTTCTCCTGAGACAGAAACTGAATTCAGGAGCCCTTCCCACATTCCCTTTCAGGTGGCTTTGCTCACCTGCCAAGGTAGTTGGTTTCTTGGCAGTCCTTATCACCCAGGGGGTGGAGGGCAGGGCTGGGATTGCCCAAACCAAAACTGCTGCCTTCTGTACCTGTCTTGTCTCTCCAGCCCATCCTGCCTGGCAGAGAGTCTCAAAGTGATCTTCATTTGACCAGGGCTGGGCTGGCCCAGTTTCCCTGACCCTGTCCATGTCCAAGCCTGCCTGCTACTTTCCTATGTGCCCCCAACATGTGTGGTCACCTGCCCACACATTTCTTCTATTGAAGCACCTTCCTCTGTCTCCAGCCTTCTTCCATGATGATCCTTCAGAAAGCCTTTTCCCACCATCCCTGGATGCAAGCTTGCTGTCTTGGAAGGGCCTCCCCTCAGACTGAGTTTTGGGCTCTGAGCCCACTCCTCCATAGGCTTGTTCTTATATTTGTTCATTCTGTCAGACATGCAACAGACATCTGATTGCCAACTGTGTGCCAGTACAAGATGCTGGTCAGGTGGTGAGGAACAGGCCATAGGACTGACTCTACTAACTTTAGGCTTGTGGGAAGACTCAGGTCAACCAGATTGTTCTAAGCAGGCCCCACAATGCTGAGACAGGGATGGAGGTTGCCCAGCTGGGTCTCAGGAGGAGATAGTGAACTGGAAAGGGGACTACTACTATGGGAGCTCTGGGATTGTTGGGGGAGGTCTGTGTGGCTGGAGTAGGGAATAAGAAAGATGTAGGCATGCTGGGAAGAGGGAGTTGGAATTTTGAGAGGGTATACCTGAGTTTTGCTGTTGAGCGTCTGCTGGATGGCCATCCTCAGGTACAGCCAGAGCTAAATGTTTCCCACATTCCCAGCTGCAGAGGAGTACAGCATACAGCAAGGACTTGGGAAATTGTGGCTGCAGAGGAATGGACAGATGCTGAGCGATACCCAGTATTAAGGGCTGATGGTGGTGTTCCCCTGACCTACAGGTAGGGTGGGAGTCTCAGAGATGTGACAGCTCAGCTAGGCAAAGCCAGAGAGGATGGGAGAGGGGCATGAGAAGATCCCCAGGAAGTTCTCAGCATGCCTAGTAGCTATTACTCCCTCACCCTACAAACCTTCAAGTCCCTACTCTGTACCTGGGAGGCCTCAGTCCCTAGTAAGATGGACATTGCCAGGCCCAGGAGGACTCAGGATAGTGTTTTTCAGTCCAGCGTGCTGACTGTTAAAATTCTGTAATACTTCTGTGTTAATTGAATGTGATCTGTTGTCTCAAAACTCTCCCATGATGCTACATGCTCACTCTAGGGCTCCAGCACACTTGGCCTTTCCCCTGGATTCCCTCTGCCCCCACCTCCACCTCATAAGTAGAGTCAAGAGCTGGTATGGTGATGATCTCCAGGGCCCTATATCTGAGATACTGATTATTAGATAGTTGTAGTGTTGTCTGTACATCGTGTGGGAAGATCTTGATTGGCGTGTCTGGTATCTATCTTGTCTCTGACTTCTTTATGGTTCTGATTGGTCAGGCAGACTGGGACTGAAGTGGCCTCCTCAGTGTGCCTAGAACAGTGTGAGCTAGCTCAGAGCAGAGTCCAGCTGAGGTGCCGACTCCCAACTTGACTCCATTCACTTTCTTTTTTTCTTCTACAGGCGGCCATGAGCTCTCAACACCCTGAGCCAGGTGCCCAGGCACCCCACAATCCCCGCCCACAGACCCTGTCTCAGAGCTCTTCCAGCTTGCTATGTGAAGGCCGGGAGCAGAGGCCAGAGCTGCGCAAGAGTGCCAGCAGTACTGTGTGGCAGGCCCAGCCAAGTGAGGCCAGCACTAGGCCCTGGACCCTGGAGGAAGAGGGGTGCCAGACTGAAAGCATGGAACAAGCACAGACCCCCAGCCCTGGGTCACAAGCTGGTGCTGTGGGTCACTGGCGGAGCAGCACCGTTGGCAATGTGTCCACCATGGGCAGTGGTGACCTGTGTAATCTACGGGCCCTCAATGTGGCAGCTGTGCAGAGGAGCCACTCAGACTTGGTCCGTAGCTCCCAGACCCGGGGTCATGGTGGTGCTCGGAAGGCCAGCCTCAGTTGCTCTGCGCTTGGCAGCTCACCTGTTCACCAGGCTCAGCTGCGGCCTGGTGGCGTTGCTGGCCAGGCCCCTGCCGTCCTGCAAAGTGATCCAGCTCCAGAGGGAGGGACTTCTAATTCAGCCTGGATGTTAGGGGAAAGACAGGTGTGGGTGCTACCCTTAGACCTGGAGGGCAAAACTGCCCATGTCAGCAGTGCCCAGGGTGAACCCAAAGCTCCTGAGCAGCCGTCCACCACCTCCTGCTATGATCTACCCCCAGCAACTGTGCTCTGTAGCGTGAGGGAGGCAGTGGCTGGTGGCTGCTGCCATGCTCTGCCTGCCACAGGGATCCTGGCCTTTCCTAAACTGGTCGCATCAGTGAGTGAGTCTGGGCTGCAGGCTCAGTATGGGATGAAGTTCCACTGTAAGTTGCCTGGGGCGCTTTCTGGGCACCCCCACTGCTGTGCCCGTACTTGGGGACCCACAGGCCTAGCCACAGAGTCTGGCTCCAGGACAAAAGATGTGTGGACCATGACCTCAGCCACTGACTTGACCCCAGGATTGGCATCAGCCCATGATGCTGGGGTACAGGCAGCACCAGTGGCAGCATGCAAGGCTGTGGCCACCAGTCCATCCCTGGAAGCACCTGTGACCCTGCACATGTTCCCAGAAGTAACAATGGGGTCCAGCCTGGAAGAGGCATCATCACCTGTACGGGATGTGCGATGGGATGCTGAGGGGATGACATGGGAGGTGTATGGAGCCTCTGTGGATCCTGAGGTGCTTGGTGTGGCCATCCAGAAACACCTGGAGATGCAATTTGAACAGCTGCAGCGGGCACCAGCCAGTGAGGACAGCCTGTCTTCAGAGGGCCGGAGGGGACCGCTGCGGGCCGTCATGCAGTCACTGCGGCGCCCCAGCTGCTGTGGCTGCTCTGGAGCGGCCCCAGAATGAATAACTGTGGCTCTGAAGTTGGCCTAGTCTCCAGACCTGGTCCTAAGCCAGTGATGGGGACAGTGGGGATCCCATGTCACCTGAACCCACCCTCTCACTTGAACATCAGCTGCCTATAGACCATAGGACACAGCCTTGGGCTTGCAGTTCCATGCAGCTGGGCTGTCTCTTAAGGGCTTGATTTCCAAGAGCCACATTTCTGCTCATTCTGGGCTCTGAACTTTGGGACATATTTTGCAATGTGTATAAGCAAGATCTTGATTTTTCTGTAAAAGTATTTAACCTCTGTTCAGTCTGCCCACAGATCTTTGCTGTTACTCTCCCAGGACTCTTGGTGGCTTTATTTTAATAGCATTGCTAGGAAATGAATTCTTATATTACACAAGAGGCCCAAGTAACAGGGATTGCCTCTGTATTTAGGGAACTGACATTGTCTAAGGCCTCCTATGTGCTATATCCTGTGTTTATCACCTGACCTTGTTGAATCTTCACTTCTTTATCTTGTTTTTCAGATAGCACAGCAGAGGTTTGGCAAGGGTCTAGCCCATGAGCTCTGAGATAGGCAGTTTGATGTGGCATGAAAAGTTCTGTCCTGTGGCATACACCAGGGACAGCCCAGTATAGCTTGGGACAGGAAGGACTAATTGAGTACACCTTCTTTGCCAGGCTATATGGAGCAGGAATGGCATGTCGGTGGACCAAAGAAACAAGGTAAGAGGGGTGGCCTTCAGGTGGGAAGCCTCATACTAGGGTAGTCTTACAGGAAACATGCCTTTTCTAGGGAGCAATGTACTCTTTGGAGTCCTGGGTCTGTGTGAACCTTTGTGTGATGCAGGGCAAGTACCCTGTGCTCTGGGATGCAGCATATAGTCACCATGCTTCCTCTGTCCCTGTCCCTACATGGGTGCCAGGAGCCCAGCCTAGGGAGCTGCATGGGAGTGAGCAAATGTCTGTGGGGACATGGGGCAATGGCCTCTTCACACAGAGGTACACCTGGGAAGGGGCTTACTTGACACAGAGGGCCTGGGCAGGTGGGTGGAGTGGGGAGAGCCATGGAGGAGGTATCTGTCCTGCTGGGTCATAGTGAGCTAAAGGTATCTGTTCTGCTGGGTCATAGTGAGCTACTGCTTGGCAGGCCCCATTGGGTGTTTACAGCTGGGAGGCTGGTATCAAATCCCACTGTGAATGTCTTGGGGTGCCTGGAGTAAGCTTTATAGGAGCTGTGGAAGATGGCAACAAGTTTCCACACCCATGTATGTGGTCCATTCAGTGAGGAGGAGTTCCAGGAGGCTGAAGTTCTTCCAGTTGGGGCTGGAGGAGAGTGAGGCCACTCACTGGGACAAGTGAAGGCAGGCTCAGGAGGGTCAGAGGAAGGGCCACATGCCATAAGGCTTGTCTGGCAGCATTGAAACCCACTGCACAAAAATTTTCTCTTCAGTCATTTGAAGACCTCAAGGTCATTGTTGGGCAGATGTGTGAGGGCCTGCCATTCCTATGCTGAACTTGGTACCCAGACAGAGGCCAGGTTGGGCCTAGTGTGGGGCAGCCCAGATCAGCCACCCATCCACGTATGTCATCCTGACTGAGATAAACATTTGAAGAATGGTACTGGAAAACAGCCCAGCCTATGTGCTGGTTGGGACCCCCAGAACACCCATTGGCTGATCTGGTCTTTTCGGAACCTTTTTGGAGGTGTTGGATTCCATTGTCCATGTTTGTTTTATTTTGAATTAAAAATAAATACAAGTTGGGAGATCAGAGCTTTGCCAGGCATCAGCAGGGAAGAGGCATTCGCCCTGGCTAGTCTTACTTGTTTTGTTCTGGTCAGTTCTATCCTCTGGGGCATAAACCCTGGAGTGCTAAAGCTCCCTGTCCTAATTGGTGTCACTCTGTCTTCTGAGTCTACCCCCTTCTGTCTGTTGACTCTTCTGAGATAGCTTGGGCCTCTGGCAGCTGAAGTCTGACTTCCTGGGGCTTGCCACCTCCAGGCCTGACTGTCCGGTGGCTAGGACGTAAGGAGTACATCTCTTGTCTGGTCCTAGGCTGTCATCACTCTCATGGGGAACCACTGATCAAACAGAGGAGCTCTGCCTGCTGGAAGTCACAGTGCTGGTTGGATGGGAAGCAGAGAAAGGCCCTCTTCCAATGTGATACCACCCTTGGTGTCAGCTGGTTTGGGTTTCTATTCCCTGGGCATGTGTGATTATTATTTGAAAGACTGAAGTGGGCCCTTCCCATGTAGGTTCTAATTCTTTGGGCTTGGGGTGGGCCACCATAGCCTAAGGATCTAGGGCTGTGGTTTGAAATCTGAATTCACGTTGATGGTCATAAGATCTTGGTCAGGTCACCAACCCCGAAGACCTTAAACTTCTTCAGCTCTGAAATGGAATGGTGGCATTTTCTATATCTTTGGTTTGTGAATATTAAGTGACATAAACCATATAAGGCACCTGGCCCCCAGTTAGTGCTAAGCACATACACTGGTGTATTGCCCAGTTTCCAGAGCCATAAGAGAGGCCAGCCAGCATTCCCTGCCAGCTTGGCTGTTCACATCCCATACCCTTACAAGTTTCTCCTTCAGATCCCTGTCCCAGGTTCTTCACCCTGGATTTTGCTCCCTACTTGGGACATGTGCTTTCTGGTCAGGAGCCTCTGAAAATATGGCTCCTAGAGCCATATGGAAGAGGACATCTCTTCCCTACTAATCTGCTGAATCAAGAATTAAGAGACAAGAAAGTAAGGTAGGGAAGGCTAGAAACCAAGCAAGGATGTAACTTCAGGCCAATCCAGATCCCACAAAGAGCCTCCCTGGACAGGCAGTAGACCCCAGGCACTTCTAGCTCTAGGGCATGTGGGTTGGGAAGTTCCAGGAGCCCTGGGGTAGGTCCCTGCGTGGAGTCCTAGGGCCTGTCCCAAAGGGAGTAGCTTGTTCCCACCAGCAAGTGCATTTGTGCTTACAGCAGCCTGTACTCATATGGAGCCTGTGGCCCAGGCCATTGTTCCAGATGTTGTTTGGAAGCAATTCTGCCACATTCGTCATCCTGCCAGGTGACCTTGATTAAAGGCAAAGCTTGACATTTTTCCATGTTGAATTTCTTCTATTTTGTCATTCTGGCCTTGCCCAGTTTTGTCATCTGAAGCTATGACTAGTCTTATCAGTTGTTCATCCAACTTGTGTGGCAGGGCAGGGCCACTACAGGGCCTGGAGTGTGTCATTGGGTCATCCTGTTGCTCAGCCTGGCCCCTGGCCCTTTTCTTCACCAAATCCACACAAGCATCTTGGAGAAATAGTTCAAGGAAAATTTGTTAAAATCAGTATCACCCTTCTCACCTAAATCACAGTCCTAGGACCCTACTCCTCAACAAGGATGGAGGATGGTGTGACCTGACAGGATGTCTCACTCAGTGGAGCTGCCGCCCTTTCCCTGGTCCTACCTGCTTCTGTTTAACAAGCTGCTCTAGAAGTTTCAGCTCAGCAAGGTATGATTTGTAGATTCTACCTTCTTGCCTTATGGGGGACAGGGAGAAGCCCCACACTCAACCTTGGCATACCTCTAGCTTGCCTCCATGCCCAAGGGCTGTTCATAGCACATGGGACCTAACCTGTGAGTGTCCGGAGAGCCAGGCCTCCTTTACTCCTTTATAGCTATTCTTTAGAAATGTCCTCTCTGAGCCTTACAGCTTTGCTCACCCATTTTACAGAGAGCCCCTATAATATAGGACCTGGGACCATGGTGACCTACAGGATTAGGAGAACATGGGACTAGTTCGGTTGCTGTGGTTTCAGAGATACAGTAAACCAGGAACCGCAGCTGGGGAAAGTTGATGTTTGTTAAAAAAATGAAGTCAAACTGAAGCAGCATGGGCTGATTGGATTTGGGGCAGATGGGTAATATCTGATTCTTACTGCAAGATCTGGGTACATGACCTTTGCTATCCTTAAGTAATGACTCGGCAGGATTCATACTGAGTCACATTTCCCTCCCTGCCCAGCCAGAGAGTCCAAGACAGTCCAGAGGCAGGTCTAGGCCCTGAAATATGAGCTCTGCAAACAGGTATCTTAAAATTTATCTTTCATGGTCCTACTTTATCAGAAGAGAATGCAAATTTGGGGGGACTGTAGCTCAGGCTGGGAAAATGCGCCCAATTTTAAGCTGCCCACAGACTTCTTTCTTAGTCTGTCCTGGCTTGGGACTTTTTCTCATTTGGTGGGGATCTTTCCTGAAAAAAGACCCAGGGTGCTTTCTCTGCATCCCATGTGTGTGTGGCCAAACACAGGCCTTCTTCCCTCTTCCCCTGGATGTTCCTCCTCCAGACCTCATTCCTCTTTAGTGTCTTGAACTTTTCTGTCTCAATTCTCTAGAACACTTTGTTTCCCCATTGTAGTGATGTCCTCCTTTCAGTGACCTCCTTCAAATTTATGCCAAGGGTCTGCCTTATCTTGACCCTGTCAACTACAAACCTCAGTCTCTGTCTTCCTGTGGTCTGGGATATTTGCCCTGGTCCAAGGTTTGGTCTGGGTCTCAGTCTCCTTGATTTTCAGGGCTCTAGGCCCTTCCTCTTTACCTGTTCTGTTTCTCTTAGTACACACTGAATGATTTGACCTTACAAAAATAGTTTGTGAGCATCTCTTTAGAAAGGGAAGCTACATTGGGCTTGATCTGCTGAATTTCCATTGTTTTGGGCTAAAAGGAGAAACTGGTTTTCAGTAGTTCTACTATGTGAATAAAAGGACTCAGGTCAGGCTGGAAGGGCCCTTCCCCCCATGAGTTTAGTTTTAGTGAGCATACTGAGTATTCACATCTGTTGGTTTAAGGTGGGTCATCTTCCTTCACATGCTCAGAATTTTGCTTGGCTTATGATTGGGGATGGGCATGTCTTGAGCTTCCTTGGGGGCATAATCACACCGTCCTATTCATGTGTCTCTCCTAGGCACATGTTCTGGAGTCAGGTCTGGAGGCTGGGTCAGAAGACGCCTGACCTTGACACCAATGGATACATATTCCTCCCAGGCTTGAGCAGGGCTGAAGCAAGGATTCCCTGTAGGGCTGGAACCTTTCATGTGCTCACCAGGAGCTGAACTAGGATGCTGGACCCCAGGGGGAAAAGAATTGTCTTCGTACCATGTGCCCCTTCCATGTTCCTATCCCCTTGTCCTCTCACTGTTCCATCTGCCTCCTGTTCCTTCTGTTCTTTGCTCAGTGATGGCAGTTAAAGGTCTGGGAAGACCATGGCATGGGTGACATTTTGTATGCAAGCTTCCTTCCTGCATTGCTTAGGAAGAGTTTCTGGTTTTCTTTCTATAGAGTTGGGAGAGGGAGCTGAAGGAGGAGTGAAAGAGTTCCTTGGGTGGGTTCCTCCTCCTGAACTCCCTGTGTGTGGCCTAAACCTCTAGAGGTAGCTGCCCTTCTGGGTGGGGCAGCAGCTAGGATTGTGGTCAC